TACTGAGTTGCTTTCTTCTACTTATTGATTTAAGTTACAAAGACCTCCTGAAATTCCAGTTGGGCTTGTTTGGGTTTTTTTTTTTTTTTCCTCTTTATATCACCAAATTCACCAGAGGCTCCTTCCTCAAGATGCCTCAGATAAACAGGTTTCTTACAACTTCATAATGCAAAAGGAATCTGAGTTGGTACAAAATCCAACATGTGAAATGTTAGCTGCACAAATTCTTTTGTTTCTGAAATCCTTTCCAAACCAGATTTGAGTTGAAAAAGTAGTATTGACATTTCTCCCCTTTACTCAGCTTTTAGAGAGAGAAGTGAGTACTCTAGGTCTGGCTGACTCGACTACATCATTTTTATAGATTCATTTTAAACTCATGTGTGTGTGTGTGTGTGTGTGTGTGTGTGTGTGTGTGTGTGTAGCAATGTACACTGAAGAGCAAGTGCCCACACAATCAGCTTCTATTGCAGCTGGCGCTACAGGAGGTTGTGAGCTGCCTGGCAAGGGTGCTGGGAACTGAACTCAGATCTCTTCAGGAGCAGTGTGTACTCTTAACCACTGAACCATCTCTCCAGCCCCTGACTCTGTGTCATTTTAAACAGTAGAGGGGAGTTTGCTCCAGTGGGCAGATTCTATTTTGTCATCAAACTTTCCACAGTGCTGCCTCTCTGGTCTAGACTCCCTGATGCCTACTCTGTCTGGTCAGCTGGAAGTACTACAACAGTCACTAAGAGCCCCTGGACTAACATTTTCTACCATCTTACTTCATCTTTCTACAGAATGTGACATTGGCAACGCTCTGCTTTGTGGAATGTTTTTGTCCTCTTAGGTAGCCTAACCCCTTTGTAGTTTCTCTCAGATTCACTTGCTCAGTCTCTCTGGCTGCATCTACTCTTACCAAATGTATTCATTTGCTAGGGCTCTGGTAACAGTACCACAGACCAAATGGATAACCAATGCAGTTTTCTTTTTTTCCAGAAGTCAGATGTACCAAATGAAGACTTCCATTGTGTTGGCTCCTTCTGAGGACTGTAAGGAGGAATCTGCTTGACTTGTAGATGCAGGCCTCTCTCTCTTTGACTTGTAGATGGTTGTTTTGTCTTTCTCTGCGTATGTTTCCCATACAAATTTCTTATTTATAAGCATACCAGTCACTTTGGGTTAGAGCTCAATCGAATGACCTCATTTTATCTGATCTCTGTAAAAAGTCCTATCTCCAAATATGGTCATATTCTGAGGTACTAGAAGTTTGGATTTTACTATATGATTTGGGGTGGCTGGGGGGAGGGTGCTGGTGTAGTGCTCTCCACAGCATCACTAGAGTCATCTTTTACATTGTATCTCATGAACTCAGTGAAAAATTTTCATCAGTATGTTTTGCCTTTCCATGAACACATCCTCTTTTCTCTTGCATCTTGGTTTCAGTTAACACCAGTTTTCTTTTGGTTTATTCCAAATCTCCAGCCCCTCTTTGTGGTCCTTCGTAAACTGCTCTTCCTCATCTTCTTCCTTATCAAGGTTTTCCAAGTTCCATTCGTAGCCTTCCAAATCCATCATCCCCTCTCCCTGGCGAACTCACCCACATGAGAATTTAATTACCAGCTGCTTTTACACAGAAGCTCCTTAGTGTCCACCTGGTCTAACCCTTTCCTGAGCTTTGCACCTGTATGTCTACTCGGACTCTCTGTCTAGCTGCTCAAATTCCATGTGAGAAAATGAATGCACCACCAGTCCTCTCTCTCCTCTTGCTCCAAACTTACTCTGCTTCCTGTATCCTCTACTGTGAAGGACATCACTGAGCCCTTGTATTTCCCTCCTTCCTCCTCCAGCCTCCACACATGTGAAAAACCAAGTCCCGTCAATTCCAATACACAAATGTTTCTTAAATACATCCTTTCCTCTCTCATGCCACCATAACTGGTCTCTGAGTCATCTCCCCTCTCTCCCACTAGCCCATCGATGCAGGCTTTATCCCTGCACCTAACTTGATCCTCAGCTTCCTTCATTTCAGCTTCGTTTCCAGTGTTCAGTGTCCCCCTAGAATCAGTCACTCATTGGAGGCCAGCCTTGTCCTTGGGCACTGCCTATATCAGGTCAACACCCTAAGAGCTCAGCCTGGGATTGTCCTGCCAGTCTCCAAGGACACTAAACACATATGTTGGGGGTGAGGGAGGAACTTCCGGCATTCTAGTCCTAGAAATATCATTACATAGTTATTTAGTCTTGGATAAATCATTTTTCCTCTGTTCCTTAACCCTAACAGTAATAATAAAAATGATGAATAATAATAACCATGTATGACATATCACTGTAAATCCCATTTGACAAACAAGAAACTAAAGATCACAATAGTTAAACAACTTGCCGAGTACGGTGGCACACACCTTTAGTCCCAGCACTAGGGAGGCAGAGACAGGTGGATCTCTGTGAATTCAAGCCCAACCTGGTCTACATAGTGAATTCCAGGTCAGCTGGGGCTACAGGGCTACAGGGAGACCCTGTCTCAAAAGACCAAAAAAATAAAAAATAAAAAACTTGTCCAAGGTGATACAGCCAAAAAGTGTGTATATGTGGGGGTCTTGTATTCAAACAGACAGCGATTACTAATAACAAAGGTACAAAAATAATTCAATCTAAATGCTGAAGCCATAGTAGTAGACTCCCACAAATGCTGAGTGATCACACAAACCTCTAAGCAGACATAGGAAAGTCAGTTTAGTTACTAGTTTCTTTTTGAAAATCTTCTTTTCTGCCTACAGATAGGATTCAAGTTCAAAAGCACATAGTAGAAAATAAAACCATAGGCAAGTATGGTGGTGCACACATTTGATCCCTGCATTCAGAAAGCAGAGACAAGCCAACCTGGTCTACATATCATGTTCCAGACCAACCAGTGCTACACAATGAGACACTGTCTCAAAAAGAAAAGCACTCACATTCCTGATTAATATTGTATGCATGCATGTATCATCTATAAAAGGGGAACACTTTACGTTCACTTTACATTCTGCTTTTTCCTTTTAAGCTGAACATGTTACAATTGTTCTTTAATAGCATTTTTAATGATTGTATGACATTCCATTATAGATATTCCATAAATAACCATTCACCTATTTTTAACACTTGCTTCTAAGAGTCCCTCATTATAAACAATAGTAAGAAGAATACTCATGTCACTAAACCTTTACTGATATACATTATTATATCCTTAGAATAAGTTGCTAAAAGATGAACTGTCTAATTAAAGGACATGTAACTTTAAGGATAGTAAGTTTCAGCAGATTATTACCCAGAAAGGTATCACCATCAGGGGGCACTATGGGTATAAAGATCCTTCCTTAGTAACATGGAGAATTCTTGCTTGCTTTTTAAATGTAATATTTACTACTTTGACAGAGAAAAGCAAAACTTCACTATTACAATTTGTGTCAGTTTTATTTCTGTTAAGACTCAACTTTGATTATTGCTATTTGTTGGTTCATAGCCGACTCAGAAGCACTGAAACAAAGAGAATCTTAACCATACAGTCAACAGCCAGTGATCCTACAGACCTCCACAGACCTCCAGACAGTGCCAGCACAATTCAGCAGTATCACTTCTACAGCTCCATGGAAACTATACACTCTGAAAAATTTTCATGTACAGATACACACACACACACACACACACACACACACACACACACACACACACACATATATTTAAATTCTTTTAGAGTGGAAAAGACATTTTACTTGGGAATTAAATTCTAGTCTTCTGAAATAAAACAGCAAAACTATTTTTCAAACCAGTAAATGCTGGGTAGAGATGAGACTTTCAAAGCAGTAATCATAAATGACAACTGACTGACTCCAGCTGCCCAGGCAAGGGCAGGGTAGGTGTGGCTCCTTTCAGGAAGTCCCTGCCCAGGCAACATGCCCCAACAAGAAGCCTTGTGGTGTCCAGCAAAGCAGGCAAGGTAGATTTCACCTCCATCCTCTTGAGCCACGTGGCCTCGGGTGACTTATTTGGCTTCTTTGTGCTCAGCTATTAAACAGCACAAAGCTAATGCCTGTCTGGACACCCGTGTGAAGAACAGCATTCAGTGAAACAGCACTAGTACAGAGCACACAGCACACGGGCTTCCAACACACAACGGCCAAATGAATGACTCCCTCCTAATACTACTCCACCCTGCCCAGCAGCGCCTACCACCTGTTCGTGACTTGCTATTTTTGTTTTGTATTTTTTTCTGTATGCAGTCACCCATTAGGATCCTCATGAATACCAAAATATTGGATGTTCCAGTCTCACATAGAAAGTGGAGTAGTAATTTGCATACTCCCACATACTTTAAATCATCCCTAGATTACATACAATGCCTTGTACAATGTAAATGAATAACAAAAGCCCTGCGCCCACTCAGTAGGCACAAAGGACCATTAGTGTTAACTACATGTTCTGTCTTCTAAGGAAAGATGGCTCACAGTTGGTCCTTTGAGTTCATGGATGTGGAACCCTCAGACTCAAAGAACTGACTGTGCCCTTTCTTCCCCTGCGTTGTTGTCTTTAGCCTCTCCTCTTTCGCTTGTTCTCTGCTTCCTTCACCTTTAGACCAAAGTGACTTTGATGTACCGAAAACTACATCTGAAAAGCATCTCACTCCAGATTTAAAATCAATTGACTCTAAACAGTCAATTTCTGGAAAAAATAAACCAGTCACCTTCAAAAATACAACTACCAGCTGCGTTGGGCCCTTCAAAACAAATTTATCTCATGTGGCAAAATAGCTCTTGTAGGAAAAAGAAAAGCTTCCTAATGTGGGAGTCTGTTAGCTAACCCTCACTCTCCCTTCCTGGGGTCCCACTTTCCCTTGAATAGACAACCGCGCATAAGAGCTCTCTAGCACACCTAAGAGCAAGAGGCAGGAAGGACAAATGTCAGAGCACTGGTCCCCAACCTCAGCCTCCCACTGAGGTCACCACCCAGTCTCCTCACAAGAGTTAACAGCAACCACTCACCATCTGGGATTCATCTTGCTTGCTTGCTGCTGAAAGCTCTGGAAGGATCCCATGGTGGATCTGGCTGTGGGAGTCTGTGCTGCAGAGGGAGAGCAAACCTTAGACGTCTGCTCGTGCCTCTGCTTCCTCTGCAATGAGGCAATGACTGTATACTCTAAACTTTTTCTTAAGAGAGTTCCTCTTTTCTCATTGGACTTTGCTCACACTTGAGAAAGATATTTTAACCCTTTCCTTGCTTTGTAAATTCTTTGATTTAGATCTAAATCTTAGGTTTTTAAAAACAATTCAGTGGCTTGAGTTCCAGATGAGAAGCTAAGAATCCCCTAGCATAAAGTAAGTTTAAAATGGGAAAATACCTCTGTGTTTCTAAAAGAATAAAAAGGCATTACAAAGTTTGGTAAGACAGTAAAAAATGTGATTTATTATGGATGTGAATTGGGACTGAGTAGCCCCCGCCCCTGCCAATTTCCACCATACAGATAATAGAAGACTTGACTGAGCCTGGGAAGGAGGGAGGTCCTCTTTTGAGGGATGCAGAAGCTTGGAGGGCAAACACAAAGTACAACTTTCCCTACAATAGCCAAAGACTACCTGGATAAAAGAGACTGCTCTGAAGCAGGAGCCTGAATGTAAGCAACATTATAAAGCCAAAAGGTGTACAGGAAAAAGAAATAATTCCTCATGTAGCAATTACACTAGAAGACGTTTCTTCATCTGAATGAAAAAAAAAAAACAAAACCATTCAAAAATGCAAC